TCCCCTCCCCTCCAAGTAAAGGCTGTCACTGCGGTCCTCCTCAAAGCAGGAGCACTTAAAGCAAGCAGGACTGGGGCCTAGAGAAACTTCCATCTTAACCAAACCTAATAATAAAATTGTTACTGACACGAGTGACTCTTGGCCAGTGGAGGATTAAAATCTGTACTGAAAAGATAATACAGGTACTTTCGTTATCATCACATCAGTGACTATTCAATTAATAAAATGGAGGACATTTAACACGCGTGAAGAAATCCTTAAAAAAGCCTTGGAGAAAATGCTGAAGAGCACTACCGAACTCAATAGTGTAGCAAAAGCAAACCAAACCCTTAACTGCAGCAAGGGGCACCTCATTTTGTACTCTATCTCAGGCATTGTTTGGGGCAGGTTCCACTTTCTCCTTTCTATCTTGCTGGTAGAGGTGACTCAGCTAGTTGCATCCTGATGCTGCTCTTGTTACTCTTAGCACCTCTTTCTGTGCGTATCATTTTGCATTTTCAGTGAATTTCATCCTCTTCTGCAGTACTGCATCTCTAAGTCGTGTACCTTAACCTTAGGATAGCCTCGTCCAACTCAAATAAATAGCATCAGCTGCAAGTGTTGTCATTCCATTGCTCATCGTTTCTTCCATTAACTTTATGTATCTATTTACAACAACACTGGCACCAAGATGCAGACGATCCCACCTGCCAGGCTGCTGCACACCGAGAGCTGGCCATTTGTTGCTGCCCTGGCTCTGCTGACTCTCAGCAGTTCACAGCCCCTGAGAGAGCAGTGTTTGTTGTTCTCTAATGATTTTAATGGTATTTCGTTTAACATTGTCTTTTGAGGGACTTTGTCATAACTTTTTGGAAAAACCTCAAGTAAGTTACATCAACTTATTTTCCTTTACAGGCTAGTCTCCCTGGCTTACAGGGCTTTTCAGGACATATGACTCTCTTTTTCCAGTGCCAACAATCCTAACACAAAAATAAAAAATGAGAACACCCACATCGGTCCCCATTTGGGAGGGGTGCTCCTGCATTTGCTCTGTTCCAACATAGGACATTTTTCCCTTTACACAAAACGTGTCTTTGAGCATTGCCTATGCCCAACTGCCTAAAATGCTGTACAACTGGGGCTCGTTATAAGTCAGACAAGAAACAGTTGAGTGCAGAGCGAAGCTAACAAAGCCTGCCTGCTTTGCTCTGCACTGCTGGCTGGGCTTGCTGAAGCGTGGTCTGTGGAACAAAGCATTTCCCATGGAAGAAGCATTCCCATTATCCCACTAGAGCTCCACTTGTGCAACAGTCTGACTCATGCTGCAGCTTTTTGCTCAGAGAATCTCTCTCTCCTACCTATTTGGCATCCAGAAGCCTGAGGTGGCTTCTTACTTCTGGGTCATTCTCCCTCTCCTGTCTGCCAGGCAGAGAGGAAAGGTGCTGCTGTGTGGGGCTACAGGTAATGCTGTTCCACATGGAGTCAGCTCTGAAGAGCACAGGGAAAGTAGCTCTTCTTAATCCCTTGGACAGCATGGGTGGGAGAACTTCTGTCCCTGCAGTTCCCCATATCCAGCCTCTGGCTTTCACACAGTCAAGGAGCCTGGCTGTGCACGAGGCTACTGAGGAACCATCTCCCTGGGGTTGCACATCCATGCCCCCAGACACTAGGAGCTGATCTGATGCCATGTGCCAGGCTAGACCCTGGCTAAGCAAGCAGGGTGGGGAGAGCATGGACTGGTTCAACCAAACATCCAGATCAACGCACACATTCATGGAAATGAAGCAGCTGTAAGGTGAAGCTAGCACTGCCACAGCACATCTCCAGCAGGGACTGAAATGGAGCTCCAGGGAGCATGGGCAGGGGTAGGGCTGCTGGTTGGGGCTATTATGGCTAATTAGCGTCTTCAGTATGTGAGCGTCTCCTGTGCTGGATGCCAGCACCATCTCCCTAGGCAATAGGAAAAAAAAAAACAACCAAAACCACCATTTCAAATTCAGAATAAAAGCCCTGCTTTTCATATAGCATGTGTGGGGGTGTATGGAGTTTCTGGGGTTTGTGCAGTGAGAGAGATCTCTGGTGTATGGTGGTATTTGGGCCCCTTCTGGGGTGTTTCTCTATGGGGATACAACATTGGGTCTGCTCCCTGCTTTTGGAGCCAACTCTTTCACTGCTGGGGGTTTGCATAAGAGCTGTGTGTGCTCCTTGGGCACAGTTATACCCACAACATTAATTTTAAGCAAACAGAAAAATGTTTCAGTACCAACAAGGTAAAGCTGTTTATTTAAATATCTTTACATGTGTTTGCGTTGTCAAGGAAAAAGGTATGTCTGTGAGAAGCTTGTGAATGGCTCTTTTTTTTTTTTTTCAGCATTTTCAAAGTATAACTAAATTTGGCAATATCAGATAAACAAATTCCCCAGTACAGTCTCTCAGATATCACAGATATACTGGGATCTGGGGTATGGTGTGTATGGCTTAGCAACATACCTAGCAACCATAACAAATAAAAATGTCACGGTTCAGCTCTTCATTAAGGCCTGTAACAGGATTAATAAGTGTTGTGGAATGTGTGCTTGTGCTTTTGCTTTAGCGAGGACTCAAACCGTGATATAAATCTGTGGGAGGGGACAGGGCAGCATTAATGTATGCACTGAGCACCAGGCTGTCCTTCTTGAAGGTGCTGGTTTGGCACGGCTGTAATACAATCCAGATTTTAGCCTGCCATTTAAAATAACTGTGTTAATACTCTTTTCTGTGTTTAGCAAGAGAATTGTCACCTCTGGCTTGTGGGGATCTCTCTTGTTAGGCTGAGGGTCTGTTTGGTGCATGGGTGATGGCACCTACAAAGTTAGGCCATTCATTGGGTTGCCAAGGTTTGTCTTAAGACCCCTTTTCCTGGGCAGCCTTACATTGAGATGTCCTGTGTGGCTACACAGACACTTGGGAGAGTGGGAGCGATGCCCACAGTGGCTTTCTAGCACTCTATTCTCATGTGCCCTGGGAGGAAATTACTTGATCCCTCCTTGCTGGGATACACCTACCATGCCTGCTGCTGCTGATGGATTGTCAGGATGGTCTGCAGCTGTGCGCATGCCCCATGTGCTCTGGATTTCCACAGGCTGCCAAGTGGGAAGCAGTTGAACAAGATGCTATTTCCTTCTCCATCCAGCAGTTTTTGGGATGGACTTGAATGTGCACGGGCAGACAGTGTGGGCTCCGGGTTGTTCTTCTGGCTCTGCTACGTGCCAGATGGGAGGATCACTCAGGAAGGCCAGTGCTACAAGAATCAGGTCATCTCTTTAGGCCTCAGTGAAGTGCAGACCATGACAAGGTCACTCCAGAGAGAGCCTTAGAGGTGAAATCCCAGCACTGAAATCCCAGCATGCCCCTTAGGATTTGAAGCAGCAAGGCATGCGAAGTCACTCTCTGCTTTTTGAGAAATACAGAATTCTTCTCTTCTGAACTCTGAGGCCAAGAGGAGACAGAGCGACTCTAGGAAGCTTTGTAAGGAAACCTGGAGAGAATCCTCTCTGAGACAGTGCTGTGAAAATGATCCACCTCCATTTAATGCTGCTATCATTCCCTCCCTAAAAGGGGAAGAAGATTGGTACAGGTCACTGCGTAAAACATTCAAGAGGTCCAGGGCCATAGGTTAAGTCTTGATGTTTTGTTTCTGGAGGGGAAAAAAATCATTTGGGTTCCTCTTTCCTTCTGTAAACATATTTGGTCTGGTAGATATTCCAGGAATCTCTCAATACATTTAGATTTGGGGATTACTGTCCTTCCTGAGCAGGGGAGGGCTCCCATCAGCCCTTCGAGGGGTGGAACAGTGGCTTTGGGGCTCTCCCAGGGCATGCAGAGCCAGATGCACGTGGACTGCTTGCCTTCAGTGCCAGCAGGGGAGCAGAGACAAACCTAGCTATTTCTTGGGCTCTAAAATGTTATTATCCCAGGGAGAAGTTGTATTTACCAGGGCCAGAAGAGCTTCATGCTGCACATTCCAGGCTGCAAGATGTTGCAGTTGCTGCTCTGGGAGAGGGAAAAATCTCCTTGAGTCAGCTCAAATGCTGGCCAGAGGTTTCCAGCCCAGTCCAGGCACAGCAGAGCCAACCTGAAACTTTTCTGGGGCTGAAAGAGAGATCTGCATCCAGCTAAGGCTGTGAGACATATAAGCTTCCCAGCTCCGATCCTTGGGCCCTTGGGGCAGGCCAGAATCGCTTGGGAGGATGGGCACCACTTTGCAAGCAAATCAGAGATGCTCCTACACATCCCTGGGCCAGTCCCCTGTGTCTCAGTGCATCTTGAAGAGAGGAAACCCGTTCACCCTGGCCTTGGGAACTGGGAAAATGCTGTCAGTGAAGGATTACTCTGCAATGAAAGCCTCCAACACAAAGGTCCAAACACCCATCCCCAGCCTCATCAGCCAGCTAAAGCATCAGATGGAAACTATTCAGAAAGTCATCCTCTCCTTTTTCCCAGCCGAGGTGCATTTCCTCCATCCCGCCTGGCTGTGGGCAGGATTCGGGCTCTGCCATGTGCAGAAATCCAGCAGGTGGTTGGTGTTCCCTTCAGCCCCCAGACTGTGCCAGCCTGAATCTGCCAGTCCCTTTTCAAGGCATGGTTCAGTTCCCCCTGGTTCACATGGGACATGAGGCAGTGCAGGTGCCTTGTGTTGGAAAACCAAGGAGAGGGGAAGGAGGAGACCAGGTCTCCACACAGAATGCTCCTTGCAAAACCCAGGGAGCACAGTTTGCTTCAAACCAGTTTCTTCACTTGTACTTTTCAATCCCTTTCCCCTTAGCATATGGACTTCTTTATCCTAGGAGCAAGATTTCTTTAAATCTGGGCTAAGTTCCCAAGAAAAGAAAGCTGCGTTTTGAAGGGCTACCAGGTGTCACTGCAGAGCCCTACTCTGCTGTGTTTTCTTTCCTCCTGCATGGCCCTGAAGCTTTTCCACCCAAAGCTTGAGGTACTTTGACCACGCAGCTCCCCAGCTTCCCAGCAGCTCCCTGTGCCTGTCTTCATTGGCACATCCCCACACTTCCTTCCTCTCCTCCCCCCGCCCTCCCCAGCAGCATAAAGCAGGAGAACAGAAACAACAAGGACAAGCTATAGTCCTATAAACCCAGAACCCATCCCCTCTTGGCTGTGGGTGAACACACCCTACACGCGCTGCGGATACTTTATTCTGCTCTGCACCTACTCAGAGGCTATATCATCCTTTAATTGTACTAAATGAGAAAGAAACATGCATAATGTTTTTGTGGTTTACATGCACAAGCGCTGCACTGGGGAGCAGAGGTGAGCACCACAGTAGTGCCAGCCCTGGGCACGTGTTGCAGTACCATGGCAAGAGCCAACCCCACAACTATTCCTGCAAGAGGACAAGGGGCGTTAAAAAATGAGATATTCACACCCTGAGCTCTTGCAAGACAAGCACCATGCTCAGCTGAAGCAATACCCATGGCACATCCATGCCAGGTCATGGGTGGATGCAGGTGCATGACCCCATCCAAGAGGATTAAGGCATGGGACAGCCTTCCAACCATCCTTCATCTCCAGCTCATCATGTAGGATGGCACCGAGTCCTTCCTGCATCTCTGGGGACATCAGGATGGCTGACCCCAACCCGAGCAACAACCTCACTTTCGGACAGTCCCACCCCAAACTTTCTGCTTCAGGTGTGGACTGGGAGCTGAGGTTGGGAAGAACTTCTCCATATGCTCCGAGTGGTGCAATGTGTTGTGCCACACAGCCTCAGGGCTTGCAGGGCACAGCTGCCACCATCCCAAGCAGCACCAAGAGCTTGAGCTCTGCTCAACAAATCCCAGCTGGGGGCCTTGGTGTTCAGAGGGAAGCAAGCCCAGCCCAGTGCAGAGGAGGGCTGACAGCACCGGCTTAGCTTCTTTCCTACAAAAAAGGAATCAAAAAGGAAGTAAGCACCTTGGTTTCTACCTGCTTGTTTGCATTGCATAGGTGCAGAGGTTATAGGATGTCCTTCTGGAGCTGTGAGCAAAAATAACGCCCTGCTCCTGCACTCAGCAAGCAGATAACCTGTATGCAGTTTGTCGCACATCACATGCTGCTTTTTCCATGGAGGTGGGTGTAAAAAGCACCTGGAGACTCAGACAAAATCACCTCAATGCAGAGAGGGGACAGCTGGTTTCAGTGCTTGCTGGCACCTGTAGTGCTTTCATCTGAAAAGGGACCACAGCCGCTATGCACATGAGAACATCCAAACCCTGCAGCCACCCCCTGGTCTGCCCTAGAACTCATAGGCAGAGACGAAGAGTGTGATTTTGGAGAGATGCTTGGCCTGAAAGGTGCGGTCCAGGTACTCGGACATGTCCACATCCACCTGGATGGTCTGGGGGCCCTTCAGGCTCTGCACCAAGATGAGCTCCCCGGTCTGCCGGTCCGAGCGCTGCATCACAAAGTGGCCCCGGTTGTTGCCTCCCACGATGCCAAAGCGGAGACTGTCGGGTCCCGGCCGGCCGGGTGCTGCCGCCGTGGCCATGCGGAAGAGCGGGGTTGGGGTCAGCAGGTTGGAGGGCAGGGGCAGATAGTGGAAGGAGATGGTTTTGGGCGCCTGGTGGCACGATCTGCTATCCATCGGGCAGGGGTTGCGCTCGCACTGGCTGCAAAGGGAATGGAGGAGGAAGTTCAGGGGGGTCCCCCAGTGGTCCTCCTCCCTACAAGGAGGGATTGAGGGGCTGGGATGCCCTGTGCACAGAGCAGGGTCGGGTCTCACATGCCGCACTCACAAGGGTGATGTTTTCACGTAGGTGATGTTGCCACCGGGCTGGGGACACTCGGGGCTGACGCACTGGAAGCCCCCACCTGTGTTGATGCACGTTGTGCCCCGCGTGCAGTTGTCCCGCGACAGAGCGCACTCATCGATGTCTGCAAAACAGGCAGGCAACAGAAACCTGGAAACTCTTATTTCCAAGTGCATTTTGGCAGAAAACAGGTGAAATGGAGCAAACCTTTGATAGGAATAAGGAGAGCGTGGAAGCTTCCCACCCTGCCACTTACAACCCCCCCTGATATGCACTGGCCTCTTTCAGGGTAAGGCTGCAAACCCAGATCTGATGGAAATAATCACTAAGTTCTCCCCCAAATCTCACTTTCCATCAGCTCCTACTCTTTTCCTACTCTTGCTGCCCAGGGCCAGCAGGGGTTAGGGTAGCGGGATGGGCTTGTTTTCCTAACTTTCTGCTAAGCTCACTGAATGCGTCAGAACACCAAGTAAGGTAAGGGTGGCTTACCTAGCAGTAAGACCAAGGGCTTTTATTGCGGATATGTGTTGGGAGTGTTACCAAGATGTTATGAAAACATAGCGTGGCAGCAGAAATCACATTGAAAATGGGAAAGCGTGAGATTTTTCACTATGAACTACTTTTGGGGCAATCATGCAAGGTTGGACAAAGTAGGAAAGCTATCCAGGCCACCTCACCTTCACAGCTCTTGCCATCGCCCAGCAGGCTGTACCCACTGGGACAGGCGCAGCGGTAGGAGCCGGGCAGGTTGACGCAGGCGTGGGCACACAGCCGTGGGGCCCCTTCTGCCTGGTACAGCTCACACTCGTCCACATCTGCAGGGAAACAAGCAGAGCTGCACAGCCACGACCCCTTACTCCTCACCCTGCAGCCCCTTAAGCCCTTACCCTGGCAGAGGCTGGCGGTGGCTGTGCCGCTCATGTGAAAGCCAGGCTCGCAGCGGCACTGCTGGGCGTGCTCCACCTGGGCGCAGCGGGGCTTGCGGCTGAAGGCAGGATCAGCTGTTGCACTCCATGCTGGGGGCTCTGCAGGGCACCAGGGGCAAGGTGAGGCCAGGACACAGCACGCACCCAACCCGAGCACCCTGTGTCACCCACCTGTCTGCGTGCGGTGCTGGCAGGTGGCCCCGCTCCATGGCGGTGGGCAGAGGCAGCGGTGCTGGCCTGGTCCCTCCACGCAGGTGCCACCGTTCTGGCAGGGGCTGCTGGAGCATGTGCTGAGCTCTGCAAAAAGCCAGGTTTTGTCTGATGTATTTTGAAACAGCATCACAACCTGATATTTCACCAAACTTGGACCACGAGAATCCCTCTTGTTCCAATAAGCCCAGGCTGCGTCTGTACTTGCAGCCAGACCTGGACCCTAGGAAATGCTCCCACAGCTGTAGCCACATCCAGCCCTTCAGGAAGGGAAGTGGTACCTGTGCAGCGCGGCTCCTTTCCGCTCCAACTGCCATCAGCCTGGCATATCCGTGTGCTGGAACCCTGCAGCTCGAAGCCAGGTTCGCAGGCAAAGTGCACCTCGTGCTCCACCAGGTACTTGGTGCCAAACATTCGCCCGCCAGCAGGGGCCTGTGGGGCTGGGCAGGACACTGCAATAGACCAAGTGGGGGGGAAGTGTTGATCTGCCTGAGAACAGAAGGCCTTACGGAGGGATCCGGACAGCCTGGATTGATGGGCTGAGCCCACCGGGATGAACCTCACCAACCCAAGCGCCGGATGCTGCGCTTTGGCCATGGCAGCCCCACACAGCGCTGCAACCTTGGGGCAGTGATTGGCAAGGTAAGGTTGGCGAGGTAAAGGCTGTGGGGCTGTTAGCTGACAGCCGGCTGAACGTGAGCCAGCAGTGTGCCCAGGTGGCCAAGGAGGCCAACGGCACCCCGGCGTGTGTCAGCAGCAGGAGGTGACCGTCCCTCCGCACTGGCACTGGGGAGGCCGCACCTCAGTGCTGCGCTCCGTGCTGGGCCTTCACTGCAGGAAAGGCACCGAGGGCTGCAGCGTGTGCAGAGAAGGGCAGCGGAGCTGTGAGGGGTCTGGAGCACAAGTGTGATGGGCAGCGGCTGAGGGAAGCGGGGCTGTTCGGTCTGGAGAAGAGGAGGCTCAGGGGAGACCTCGTGGCTCTCTGCAACGACCCGAAAGGAGGCTGTGTGAGGTGGGGTCGGCCTCTGCTCCCAGGGAACGGCCATAGGACGAGAGGGGATGGCTGTAAGCTGTGCCAGGGGAGGCTCAGGTTGGATATTAGGAACAATTCCTTCTCCAGAAGTGATTCTGCACTGACACAGCTTCCTGGGGAGTGCTGGGGTCACCTGGAGGTGTCCCAGAGCCGCGGGGATGTGGCACTGCGGGACGTGGGAAGTGAGCACGGTGGGGTGGGCTCACCCCATCCCAAAGCCCCCATGACTCCCTGGCACTCACCAGGCGTGGGCTCCGGGGCCGCCTTGGCCAGGGTTGCATGCAGCGTGCTGAGGCGGCTCTTCATCAGACGCAGGCCCTCGGCGAAGCGCGTCTCCTGCCCCTTCAGCAGCTGCTGCATCTGCCGCACAGCTGCCAGGAGCTGCTGCCTGCCTGGGCAGCCCTGCGGGCACGGCAAGCATTCAGCACCCACAACCCCAGCACCCGTCTGGCTCCTCCACGTCCCATCATTTATTTGCCCCCGTTGGCCAAACATGGGGGTTCTGAACACAAACGTCGTGTGGGAAATCCCTAGCTGTGGCATGGCCTCCTACATCCTAACATGGCAACGTATCGCTCTGATAGCTTTGTTAGTCCTGGGAGAGATGCAACAGCTTGTCCTGCTGGATCTAGAGCCGTGTCCCACTTCCATGTTACAAAATAATAGGAAAACAGATGTCTTGTGAGTTCTTCTGGGGCCAGAAACACTTGTGGGACTTCTGCCTGCAAGCTAATGGTTACCAAGGGACTGACTCATGCAGGCGACGGGCATCTTTATTATAGGTTTCCTGAGGAATTAACAGAAAACCAAAGGGAAAGAGAGAGAGCTGAGCACAGCGGAGTCAATTTAGTGCCTGGAGATTTGCAGAGCACGTGGAGCAGGGGATGAACAATCCCTATTGGGAGTGCACAACCCTATGTTGTGCCCCGATGTGATGAGAAAAGGAGATGGGTCCAAGGCTGCGACAGAGCAAACAGAGCTGCAGCGCAGGGGTTGATCCGCTTTGCAAAAAGCTACCGAGGGTTTGCAAAGGAAAAAAGAAAAGCCAGCCCCAAACAGCGTGCTCCAGGCACTCAGCATCATCCCCTGCCGCTGCTCGTGGCTGTTTCAGGGTTGCCGGGGATGAGCTGAGCCCTGCCGGCAGCTCTGGGGTGCACAGCACAGGAAGAGGGAGGAAAAAGCAAATAGATGCCTGGCATCCCGCGCACTTCAATAAACAGCTCTTTGTTAGGTCTGATTTTAACTTCAGGAGCCAGCAGAGCTCCCTGCGGGGTGCTGAGCCGTAACAAACCCCCACTCTCCCATAAAAACAGTGGTGCTTTTTGCTCTGGGCGTACTTGGTCGTGATTTCAGGTGCGGGGAAATTTAAAAACAAACAAACAAACAGCAACAAAAAACCAATACCGAAGCTTTGCTTTGCACTAACAGCCTCCGTGCTCACACCTCCCTCCCACAGCCTCGGGTGCCGGAGAGAGAAGCGGAGCTGCAGCGGGACGAGCGTTCCCCGCTTGGCTCACCTGCTGGGGCGGGGAACACAAATTGCATGGAAATGCGAGGGGGGATTCGAAGAGTTGGGGGGGTGGGAGGGTGCGTTTAGCATGCTCTAAGCCTCCTGCTTCGGGGAGAGGGGAAAGCGGATGAGATCTTGCAGGAGGCATCCCCGAGACCCCCGCAGCGCCCAGCCATGGGGAGGCAGAGGGACGAAAGGACGCACACGCGGATAGCCCAGACCCACGCGAGGACGAGCTCACCTGGGCCGCCGGCGTGGCCAACCGTGCCGCCGGGCACAGCAGCAGCAGCGGCAGCAGCAGAGGGAGGCTGCAGCGGAGCCCCGAAGCCATGGTCCCGCGGTCGAGCAGGGCTCTTGGCGGGAGGAAGGCGGTGAGCTCCCTCCGCCCGGCACCTCTGCCTCCTGGCTGGGATGAGTTATCCCTCCCACGCCGCACTGCGCACCGCGGCCGGGGAAGCCGAGTCCTGGCGAACGGCACGGCGGATGCCGGGCGCCGCTCGCACCCTGTGAAGCGGGACAAGGGCAGCGGATGACGGAGCTCGCCCTAGGGAGCAGAGCTCGGGGCTCGCGTGGGGCAGCCAGACCGGGGGCAGCCTGCGTCTTCCTTCCTGAGCCCCGGCTGTGGTCACCGTCATCCCAAATGCTGTCTGGAGGGCTGGCTGCGTGGAGCCCCTTCTGCCTGCAGCCACCTCAAGGCTTGCCCTATAAGGCTTGCCTTTGGTTCATCACGCTATTTCACCTTATTTCCCCTTATCTCTTTAGCTACCTGGATTTCAGCCAACCTCCACCGCTGCACCCCGCCTTCAACGAAGCCCACGTTACCAGCCCGTAGGATTCCCATGCAGAGCAAATGTTTGTGGGTTGCCAAAATACCACTCCTGGGGCATGTGCAGCCTCTTCTCCAAGCCCGTGTCCCCTTCCCACAGCCACACGCCGTGGGGTGCAGTGAACACCGTGCAGTACGTGGGGTCCCTGCACCATCTGCTGGGCATGGCGCAGTAATGAGAGCTGGGTCTGGGTACTTGCAGGGCTGGGGAGGGCTCCTAGGGCAGAGTTTTGAAGGGACATCTTCCCAGCCTGCAGCGGGGTGCTCTAAATCAGCCTGTGAGATGGAAAAAGCAGAAATCCCCTCAAAACAGAGAAGGAATGCAAGCCCCAGAGCAGCTCTCAGATAGGTCAAGGGTGGCTCCATCGCTCCTGGGCCTCCCCCATCCAGCCTCCCATAATGCCATCAGCAGGAGCAATGCGTTTCTCTGCACACAGGTAGGCCAGGATGATCAGTGTGTGGAGATGTGCTGGGGATAAACCAAAACCCACTGTTTGGACAGGAGATTTCAAAGGTCTTGGTGCTGTCATTTGGGTTCCGCTTGGTGGTTTTTAGTAGGGATGTATCACTGTATGAAATGCCCCCAGAGGGCTGTGTATCAGCCCTGACCATCCACAGTACTGCTCATTGAAATAGCAACTGATAATGCTGAAAAAGGTAAAAAAATAAAAAAAGAAATCCCACCTTTTCTGGTGTCAGCACAGCCTGGGCTGCAGGAAGGCAGCCCCATGTGAGCAGCACCGTTTACCCCAGATCTCCACACTGTCCACTCCTGCCATAGCTGTCACCCTCCAGGGGGACATGGGCTGCGCTGTGAGCCAGGACCCAAAGCCTCCCAGTACATCAAACATCCTTAGAGCATTTAACCACCTTGTGGTCTCCACCAGGAAGGGTCAGACTCCCGTATGAAAATAATGCAAGAAGAAATAAGACTGTTTATTAAAATAAAATCTCTCTGTCCCGATTCACACCCTGCTTTGCGCAGGCTCCATTCACAGCAGCACTTCAGAGTCCTCCAGGCAGCCATCAGCACAGGGCAGCTGAGCTGCAAGCGAGCTGCCAACAGGCAAGGTGCTGGCCTCGGTCCATGCCGAGCCCTCGTGGGGCAGCAGTGGGACGTAAGCCTCCTCCATGGGGCTGCCCTCACTCTCAAGGACGTACCTCGAGCCCCCATTGTGGATATCCACTGCCACAAGTGCTGCCTCTGTGTGGGAGCAGGAGGGCTCAGCAATGTCCCTGGTGTCCAAGTCAGAGTCCGCTTGGGGGAAGCCTGAATCCTGGGTGGAGTTGGGGCTCTCCTCTGGCAGGCTGGTGTTGACGTAGATGACGTCCCCGGACCCCCTCAGGGCAGGAAGGCTTTCCAAAAGCTTCTCCAGATGAACTTTCAGCTGTGAGAACGTCGGTCGGTCAGCAGGTTCAGCCCTCCAGCAGGAGGACATGATATCGTACCTGGGAATGAGGAGAGGAAATGCAGCTGTCGTGGAGGATGTTGCTGAGTGTTGGGCTTCGAGATGTACGTGGTCTGATTCCCTTCTTGGAAACTGGGTGAGTCCTGAGCCATTTTGCATTAAAACAAAGCAAAACCCACTCCCCACTTTAGCTGTTTTGTTGAGAAAGGAGCACGGCACCCCTAGGCAAGACCTTTAGGGCAATACAGTCTTAAAAATGAAATAACAACAAAAACTTTGACTCCTTCACCACAAACTGCAGAGGGCACTGCTGCTACCTCTGCACGACCCAGCAAGGTGGCCTCTGGCACTTCTCACCCACCCCACGCCACCTGCTGCATACAGCCCATCATCAGCCTTCGGTGTGAACCCCACCAACACATTGCTTTCCTTTGGGGATATTTTTGGAGATTTCTGTGTGACACCTTGCCTGGAGCTAAGAAGATGCTTTTCCATCCCTGGGTCATACTCTGCTATGGGATCTGGCTCGTATTAAAACTCAGGAGATTAACAGAACATTAAAGATTTTGAGCTTTTTTCTTTTTCTTATGAGACACACTCACTTAAAATTTGACCCATATCACTATTCTGGCCAGCTAATCTGTGTGTTCTTGTGAGCTCCCTGCCTGTCAAACCCTACAAGGAAAAAAGGTTCTGTCTTTGACGTTTTTATTTGAATTCAGTGTCTGGGGACAGATGGAGAGGGGACATGGGAGGTTTTTTGCAGCCTGGGCATAGTGGTGTAATACTCACAGTTCATCCAAGCAGTTCTCAGGCTTTTTGAGCCGCTGCCCGTGGAATAGATACTCATAAATCTCGTGGTTCTGCACCCCTGGGTACGGAGTCATCCCTCTGGTGGCTATCTCCCACATGGTAACGCCAAATGCCCACTGTGATAACAAAGGGAAAGCGTGCTGCAAGGACATTTCCAGGAGGAATGAATGAGTCTTTTCATGGGGAAAGGTCACTTCCTAGCATCCACTGGGCTCTCGCACAATGCTAATAGTTGTATCTTCAGTCCTGCCTTTCCCAAAATTGGAAATGATAAGAAATGCCATACGACAGGCAAGCAGCCCACTCAATAAACTTATTCCAGGATGCTGGGCAGGCAACGAAAGGTCAGCATGGCCTGTTACTGACTGGCTTTTGCACTTGCAAGGTACAAGAATAACCACTACAAAGTGCCACAGCTGCGGAGGACTCGACTCAGAGATCACTTTCATGCTCTTGGCTCCTGCTTCCCGGCTGCCCAGCAATGTGTACCTACCACATCACTCTTGGTGGTGTAGACACGGTCAGCCAGGGACTCTATTGCAATCCACTTCACTGGCATTTTTGCTATTCGGCCCTGACGATAGTAATCGCCGCTGTAGATCTTCTTGGACAACCCAAAGTCTGCCACGCACACCGTCATGTCATCCCGTAACCTGCCAGGAACAAACAGGGTCAGAGAGCCCCAGGGAGGCAAAGTCTGCTTTCCTGACAGATGCATAATGACTGGTGATCAAGCCTTCATCAGGCTGGCCCTTGAAACACTGTGTATGACTGCCTCTTCTTTCTACAGCTCAAGAAATGATAAGAAAGAAAAGTTTGACGTGCTAAATTCTGGATGCTAGTCCTGAGATTGGTCTCTCCAGGAGACTCCAAGGGAGGTTTCACTTAAGGAAACCCACTCTGTATGCTCATTCCTAGCACTATAAAGCCATGGGACTTCTGCTACTTTTCACCTTGCCAGGCCAAAACAGAAGGAAAGCAAACTCACATGCAATTCCGAGCCGCCAAATCCCTGTGAAGAAACTGCCGACTGCTCAGGTACTCCATCCCCAGGGCAATATCCACCATGAACTTCAGCAGAGTCTGCAGGGGCACAAACTGAGGAGGGAGGACGTGGGTCAGAGGATCGGAGTGCTTTGGGAAGCACGTTTGGTCTGACCCTGCTCAGGCCAGCTGCTTGACAGCCATTCTGTTAGACTCAGAGAGCACAGGGAGCCCACAGCAGTGGCCACCAAGGGTGACAGTCTCAGACCATGAGATTTATTGAATCAGAAACCTGCAGGAGCTGCAGATGCTGGGACAGCTGTTTCAGAAACAAAACCAAACGCTGTCTGCCAGGCTGTAATGCAGGCCAGAACAACCCATCCTGACAAACCAGACATCTCATGCATGCCCTCTGCACCTCTGCTTCCTCCTTTCACAACTTCTGAATGCAGCCTTCAGCTAGATATTGTTTCCTTGTGGCTGTTCCCACTGGCTGCCTTAACATCATGTATTACATGCTAGAAAGTAGCTCTGTAGGAAAGGACCCTGGGTCGTGGTGTGGAGCAAGCTGACCATGACTCAGGAAAGCACGAATCCCACAGGCTTGTGTGGAGCCAGATCCCACTGCCAGCACCCAACAAAGCAGGCGGCAGGACTACAACCAAGTCCTCCTGCAGTTCCCCAAAAACAAAGGCAGGTTTTGCTCAGTGTCCCTAAAAGAGATACAGTCACCCCTTGCTCTTTCAGGCATAGGACCCTTTGCTACCTGCCTTCATTACCTGGGGGGCCATCTCCAGCCGGGAGCGAAGCAGGAAGCTGTGCAGGTCACCGTATTTCATGAAGGGGAGAACTACCATGGGCTTGGGGATCTGCTGAGAGCTCAGCTCGATGCACACACCTGGAACACACAGACACAGCTCACACGTGGGACTTGAGCATGGTCTCACTCCCAGCTCAACCTGGGGACCCCATACCTAGGAGCTTGATGACATTGGGGTGGTCAAAGTCCTTCATGCACGCTGCTTCACTGAGGAACTCTTCTATCTCTCTATGGGAAAAGTTATCCACTGGGAAGCAAAGGAAAAACAGGAAATTTAAGACCTTGAGAGCATTAACGCTTTAATCACTGTTGCCACATCCCTTAACAGCAGAGTTCCTGTGTGGGCAAAGGGTAAGGGACCACCGATATGACAGAGACATCACACCAGAGATTTGCACCAGCATTGGGTTATGCAGCACATGGAAGCAGGGAACAGCCCCATCTCACTCATGCAGAAAGCAATGGGTCAGGGTGGACAGAGACCACAAAGAAGGATTAGATATGAGCATTTCCAAAAAGCCTGGGGTCTCTAATCTGGCTGGAGACAAGTCCTGCTATTTCCCAGTTCCTCAAGACAAAACTGGCTGTTAGAGGAGTGCCCTTCCCAGCAGGGCTTTGGTCACCGTTTGGAAAAGGGCACGAGACAACCCACACACCTTTCCCCATATCCACCATGCTTTCCCTTCTACTGCCCAGCATCTGCTCAGCAGATCTCCTGCCACAGCTGTGTCTCTCTGGCTAGGACCAGGAGCAGTGGCAGAGACCAGCATCCCTACAGAACGGTTCCAGGATATAGAAAGAGCCCCAGAGAGGGGTTTTAGGAGCACCAGTACCTGCTGTGCCAAACAGCAGCAGGTTCTGCAAGGCCAGGGTTACTTACACTTCATGGTCTTGACAGCCACCTTCTGTGGGGTGCCTTCTGGCTGGCTGAGACGCCCCTCCATCACTGACCCGAACTCCCCTGTGCCATGGGAAAGAAGCAACCACTTTACCCACACCTCTACATGCTGCCTGTTGAGACATCACTGTCTTTTCAAACATCTGAAATGCTCTAAGACAGAGACTTTGTCTCCAAAAGGCAGAGGGGGATGCCTGTGTCCTCGTGGCAGGACAAAGACATGAATTTAGGGGTCCAAATTCCCAGCCTGATGCTCTGTCATCCAAGAGCCAGGCGGTGATGTGAACATCAGCAGCATCCCTGCCCCATCAGTCCAGCCACATACCCACCCCCAGCCCCTGCAGCACCATCACTCACCCTCTCCCAGGACTTTCCCCAGGCTGAGGGCATTTCTGTCAATGACAACATCCTGCAGCTTCTGCTGGAGCTCGCTGCTGATGCCCAGGCTACCCACTGCAAGAGAAGGGAAGAGGAGTTCAGACTCAGAAGACTTCAGTTGCATGCCTACCATTTACAGCATCAGGGTGTGGCATGGTACAGAGAGAGCGGACCGAGGGGCAAAGTTTTATAGTTTTGTAGTAGCTGAGCTTCCCTTAATGCCCATGAGACAGAGCTGGAGACAGAGCCTTAGAATTTCACAGGCAACCAGGTGAGGAAACCCAGCTTGGCAGACATGTGAAGAACTGGAAGAATCAGGCCCATGGCTTGCCCTGCTGCTATCCTGTCACCTTGTTGCAGAGGGATGAAAAGAACACTCACGTGTCAGTTCGATGGCTCTCCTACAGTAGGACTTCTTGGCTGTGTAGTTTACCACCAGCTCTGAATCATTTCTGCTGAAGGCATTCCTGGTGGGATAGAAAGTGTGTGAGGCCACTTCAGCTGTTTTCCCTCTGCTCAGAGAACCAC